GGTTGACTAAGCGACGTTGTCATTGAGTCGGAGGGGAACCCTTTCCTTTGATCCCTTCCCCGCGGAAGGGGGGGGGTCCCGGGGGGAGGGCCAAGGGGGGGGGTCCCGGGGGGTGGTCCCAGGTCAGAATACCACCCTCCCGGGGCGTGTCGAGGCATCACTGGCCGTTAGGCCTTAGTACTATTCGTTTTGTTGACGTCTCAAGAATGGTGTTCCGGCACGATTTAGAACTGTTCGTGCGCAGTAATTATGTTCATTCGCGGTGCTACAGTTCCAGGAATGATGTTCTGGTAGGATTTGAGATGGTCAGAACGCAGCAGTCATGTTGATCCGCGGCGCCGAAGTCCCAAGAATAATACTTTGTCGCGATTAATGATTATCGTACAAGTGTCTTCCAATGGGATACTTCCCGCAATGAGAGTAAGATTGTGTAGGGGCTTATGAAGAGGGAAAATGGAGGGAGGGTCTATGGTAATATCGTTGATGCGTCTTGGGTTTGCACTGGTCCTCCTCCTTCTCGCGTCCTCGCGTCCTCGCGTCCTCGCTCCTCGCTCCTCCTCCTCCTCCTCCTCTTATTCCTCCTCCTTCCGTTCACGTCAGCCTCGCTTGGCTGGCGCTGCGCCGTGTCTCGCCCAAGTTGATTTCGAGAGCGGCTCAGTCTCCTTCCCCTTTTACGGCCTGCGATGTCACCGAAGACCATGCCTTGGAGCCACCACGACCCCCGAAATAGCCGCCGAATTCCAAAGGAGTTGCGCGTTTTCTTGCTTGTTTTTCAGAACATACAATGCTGGGCGCGCAGGCCCGCTTGCAACGCCCCCTGGCGAGCATCCATTTTGAACCAAACACCACCGCGGCCGTCGCTATCATCACCGCCAAGACCACAAGAGAACAAAGGTTACATTCACCATCGCGCTGAGGGCACGTCAGCCTGCGTCGCCGCACATCGACTCTTTGCCACAGCCGAGTGCTGCGTGCTCCCAGCAGCATTCGTCGACAGCCGTCAAAAGCAAAACCGCCGACATGGTCCTTGAAAGGGCCGCCAGGAGGGCCGCCGAAGGGGCCGCAGAGATCGTCGGCGAAATCGCCGCCGAAATTGCCGCAGAAATCGCCGCCGAAATCGCCGCCGAAATTGCCGCCGAAATTGCCGCAGAACTTGCCGCCGAAATTGCCGCCGCAATCTCCGCCGAAATCGCCGCCGAAATAATTGCGAACTCCGCCAAAATCACCGCCGAAATTCAGCCGCAAAAATCGCCTCCGAAATTCAGCCGCCGAAATTGTCATTAAAACGAAATCATTATCTTTATCAAGCTCGATGACGCCGCGGACACAGGCACTGAGTCACAGCCAAAGTCAATTTCGGCCTCTTTTCGGCGGCGCAATCAGGAATTTCGGCGGAAATTTCGGCGGCGAGTTTGGCGGCAATTTCGGCGGCGATTTCGGCGGCAATTTTGGTGGCAATTTCGGCTGCAATTTCGGCGGCCCTGTCGACGGCTCTTTCGGCAGCCCTTTCGGCGGCAATTTCGGCGGCCCTTTCGACGGCTCTTTCGGCGGCCCTTTCGGCGGCGTTGTTTTTGCCAACTGTCGACCATGGTTGCCGGGAGCTTTGGGCCCTCGGAGGCCCCGGCGGGCCCTGAGAGGGCCCTCGAAGGGCCTCGCCATAAAACGTCTGCGAAGTAGCTCAAACCACGCGTGATTGGCACGCAACGTGCAGAGCAAATTCCTCCTCGCAACGTGAAGAGCGAATTCCTCGCGTTATGCGTCAGCACGCCCTACGATGCGCATGGAAAAACCACCGCGCGACAGGGCGCGCCTGCACACCGAAACCATCAAGAAAAGCTCACTTTCATGTGGAATGAATTTCGACGCGCGCCCCTTCTCGTCTCCAAAGAAAATGCCACTACGAGCGATGCGATGGCGGGGAAAGGCCAGGCGACGGTGCGAGGCTGCGGGGGGGCGATGGGGTCAGATCCCAACCGGACTGTCCGAATCCTAAGGTGACCGTCCAGATCCAAACCCGTAAGAAAACCAGAAAGGTTCAGATCCCATCCGCCGGATAAAGTTATGCAAAGCCTTGTTCTTGCACGATCGTCTTAACAATGAGCACAAAATGGCTTCTGTTAGAAGAACTCGCTCGGTATTCATAGCGCGTGTAAGGATCTAGCAAGTTCCACTGCATTCGTAGATGCGAGTTCTAAATACTCCAGGAGGGTCTTCTGCATATGTTCGAGGTGTTCCAAGGCGGCAGTGTATACAAACGTTTACGACGCGTATGCGAAACTTGCATCAAACGTAGGAGAAACGTATGGGGCGCGTGTCCGAAAGTTAACATAAGCATGCAACACGTAATCATGCGGAACGCTTCAGAAGCGCATGCGGAGCGTATGTCCAACGTACAAGACACGTAGACGCAACGTATATGACACGCTTATGACGGTAAACGCCCATCAGGAATTTCACACATCCTAGAACATAATCTTCCAGGAATCCTCTGGGTATCCCACAGGAATCCTTAAGGAAACCTTCGAGGAATCCTCAGGAAGCCCTCAGAATCCCCGTAGGAATCTTCAGGGGTCTTCAGCACTCCGTCAGGAACTTCAAGAATCCTTGATGAATCCCTCTGGAATCCCCAGGGATCCCTGAGGAACCTCAGGGACCCCTGAGGAATCCCCAGGGATCCCTCGAGAACCCTGCTGGAATCCCAGAAAGAAATCCCCCAGAATCATCAAGAATCCTCAGGATTCCTCACAGGAATCCTTCAGGATGCCTTAGAGGAGCCCACGGGAATCCTGCACGAAACCGAGGAGGCGCCTTCAGGAAAGCGCCTATGTCGCGCCTCGCAAGCGCTTGGAAACTCAAACAAAAAAGGTTGGGATCTGGACGGTTCCGGTTTTACCACCGGTTGGGATCTGAACCGTCAGTTTGGCATCTGGACCGTCTTCTTGGTATCTGAACCGTTCAGTTGGGATCTGGACCTTTCTCCTGCGGGGGGGCGCCATTTGCTGTTCGGCGGCTCACTGGGCGCGGCGCAGGATGGATGAGAACGAGGCTCCGGGGCCCTCCGCAGTGTGCCGCGCGGCCCGCCGCTGCCGACTGAACTCCCTGGAGCGGCGCGCTGGGGCGAGGCCCTGGCCACCCGGTTCGTGGGGCGACCGCGAGGCGGCGGCGCGGCCCGCGCTGCACCGCCTTGCTGCTGGCCGTCGTGTGCCAGGAGGAGCGAGGCTTCGGCGCAACGCGGCCTGGCACGCGGCTGGGGCCCCCGCGGGGGGATTCGCCGCGGCCTCTGGGGCGTCTGTGGAGGCCGCCGCGGTGGGGCCCAGTCTGGGCCGCGGTGGGCTGGGGCCTCCTCGCTGCAGGCCCGCAGTCGACCGCGCAGGCGCCCGAGGCGGAGCAGAGCGTCGAGGCCAAGGCCTTCGCGGAGGGCCTCCCCACTGGCTGGCACCCAGCGGAGCTCTGCGCGGCGGCGGCGGAGGGCCCGCCGCCTGGCGAGTGCCCCGAGGCTCCCAGCGCGGACGCCCGCTGCCACACCTTGTTGGCCGAGCTCGGGCTGGCGCCGTTCGAGCCGACACCCATGCGCGACACCCTTTAGGAGGAGGAGGATGAGGAGGAGGAGGATGAGGAGGAGGAGGAGGGAGGAGGAGGAGGAGGAGGAGGAGTGGAGGAGGGAGAGGAGGAGGAAGGAGGAGGAGGAGGAGGAGGAGGAGAGGAGGAGGAGGAGGAGGAGGAGGAGGAGGGGGAGGAGGAGGAGGGGGAGGGGGAGGGGGAGGGGGAGGAGGAGCACGCTCACGGAGTATTGCGAGGATGGAGGCGTCGAGCGCTCGCCGACCACCGAGGCGCCGTGCGTGGCGCCGATCGCCGAGAGCTGCGACTCTATCATCGCAGACCCCCTGCAAGAGGGCCACGTCACCAATGACCAGCCTCGAACTTACCCCTATCCTTAAGATGGGCTAGCAAATACCGAGGACAATCTTGGGGATGTGCCCTCAGAAGCTGAGGGAATCCTTAAGATCGGCATCGAGGTGAGGTGATGCCAAACACATGAATAGGGATATGCTTCAAACTGGTAAGCCAAAGAGAACGCAGAAATATTCCTGGAGGATGGCATCGGCTCCCCGACCATGGAGTCGCCGAGGGTGCCGCCGCCGTCTGCCGACGATTAAGTACGGCTTCAGCATGAGTGCCACCCTGCAGGACGAGAAGCTCAACGGAGGTTTCGAAGACAGAGGACGGCAAGTGAACACCACCGCTGAGGCCACCGTCTCATGTCACGACCTTATGAGGGCGCGCCCTGAAGCGTCCCGATGCTGCGTAGGACACGTGATACGGAAAAAGGCTAGAGGTAAGTCCACCCTTCTTTGCATGGCTTGCCGCCACTCTTTCCCAACACGTTTCAGCACCACGTATATGTGCCGCCCGTGCGGGTGGCGTATCTGCGAAAGCTGTGCGACAGAAGCAGCTGCAGAATCAAATAATGGCAACAACGATTCAACGATTGAAGATTGTATGATCCGTGTAGCCACGAGAGGAGGAGGAGGAGGAGGAGGAGGAGGAGGAGGAGGAGGAGGAGGAGGAGGAGGAACGAGGCTTTGCCCCTCGCTGCGCCCGGATTCGCGATAGGGCTGGCGCCACCGTGCACACCGGCCTCCCGCAGCTCCTGTCCTGGCGAGGTCCCGTCCCGGGCCAGAGCCGCGTCGTTCCAAGACCCCTTGCGGGTCGGCGGATCTCCTCACGCAGGATCTGTGAACCAGCCATAACCGAGCGCTGGTCCCCCTCCTCCTCCTGCTCCTCCTCCTGCTCCTCCTCCTTCTCCTCCTCCTCCTTCTCCTGCTCCTCTCCTGCTCCTCCTCTCCTCCTCCTCCTCCTCCTCCTCCTCCTCCTCCTCCTGTCCTCCTCCTCCTCCTGCTCCTGCTCCTGCTCCTCCTCCTCCTCCTCCTCCGGCGACCAGCGACTGGCGACCGGCGACCGGCGACGGTGGCGGCGAGGGGCAGCGTGTGCTCGTGGACCCCGGTCCTGGTGCAGAGGGGGTAGTTGGCTCCGGGCGCCGGCAGCTGCAGGACCGCGGCCTGTGCCGCCGCTGCTGCTGGCGGCTGCTGCTGCTGCTCGGGTGCATTTTTTGGGGCGGTCGATGGACTAGTACGCGTACGGACCCAGACATGATCGCGTCGTAACAAAAATCAGGACGGAGTTTTTTCGCCGTTTTCGGTCTCTAGAGGCCCTCGCTGGGCCCCGGGACCGTAAAAAACGACTCAGGATGATAAACCGGTCCCGGGGAAAGGGTCGGGATTTCCGGGGACGCCGTCCTGAAAAAATCAGGACGTCGCATGTCTTGGGATGCAAGTGAGAAGAGTACTAGCCAGCGTGGATCCAAACTCGTGAGTTGTTTCGCAATGGAGGTGACGTGTCCGTGGGGTACGACAGGTGATGCAAGCTATGTGGTGAAAGCTTTGCGGTGCGAGCTGCGTGAATCCAGCTAGGCCGTGGAAGCTATGTGGCGGAATCTATGTGGTGCAAGCGGTGTAGTGTGAGCTACATGTTGTGAGCTACATGTTGTGTAAGTGATGTGGTGCAGGCGATATGGTGCAATGTGCATCATTGTGATCTGTCTTGTGCGAGCTGTGCCGTGCAACACCTGCTGTGCTATGGGCTCTGTGGTGTGACCTGAGTGGTGCACGCTACGTGGTGCAAGCTATGATGGTGGTGGTGGTGGTGGTGGTGGTGGTGAGGAGGAGGAGAGAGGAGGAGAGGAGGAGGGAGGAGGAGGAGCTGTGTGGGAACGAGCTGTGACGTGGTGGCGAGAGCGCACGGGGCGCCCCCACGGGCGCCCACGGGCGGGCACGGGCCGCGCCCACGCGGCGAGACCCGGGGAACACTTCTCCTCTCCTCCTCCTCCTCCTCCCTCCTCCTCCTCCTCCTCCTCCCTCCTCCTCTTCCTCCTCCTCCTCCTCCTCCTCCTCCTCCTCCTCCTCCTCCGCCTCCGCCTCCGCCTCATCCGCTTAACTTGTGCACGGGGCGCCCGCGAGGGGGCCCACGAGCGGGCACCGGGCGCCTCCGAGGCGAGCCCTCGGGGACAACCCACCCAAGACAGAGGAAGGGGCCTTGGGACACGCAGAGAAGTACACAGAAGCAACAGGATTCCCCATCTTTTCCCACATGTTCTGTTTTTTTTTGTCTTCCCCCCCAATTCCAATATTTTTCCATATTTTCCTGGGAGCCGACGATTAATTGTGTCTGTGTGTGTGTTTCTCCGTCCTGAACGCCCACGAGAGGCCCACGAGCGTTAACAGGCGAAAGCTCGGGAAGCCCATGAATCACTTGAGGGATCCTAAGTGCAAGCGCTGCTCGGCGAATGGTCGTGGGAAGACCCGGGGCCAGCTGATAGCCGAACATCGGGCTCAACGAACACAACACCTCGCACGATCATTACTCTTCCATTGCGAGGTCACGGGCTCTATTCACCGTGCAGCCGTACCATACAACGTATATGGGCGGTTCTGAAAACCCTGAACCCAAAAACGTTGTCATCTCTTGGACAGCAATTTTTCACTTCCGACGCCTTCCGCCAACCTTCCGCCGGCTTCCGCCAGCGGAGGCGGCCTCGCTTTCCTTCCACCGACCTTTCGCCGCCCTTCCGCCTCCTTTCGACGAGGAAGAGATGACAACTACTTCGATCCTCGAAGGCCAGGCCATGCTTGGAACGCCCCATACAGACCATCGCAAGTATGCCAGCCTCTGTGAGCAGGGGGTGATGCCCTTGGGGCCTCGATAAAGCCGACGCCTGCGACGCCGGGTGCGTCAGGCAGTCCCCCGAGGTATCCGCCCTGCTCCCAAAACGACAACCTCATGTACACGAGCGGAGGAGGAGGAGGAAGACAAAGAGGAGCAGGAGGAGGAGCAGGAGGAGGAGGAGGAGGAGGAAGATGAGGAGGAGCAGGAGGAGGAGGAGGAGGACGAGGAGGAGGAGGAAGAGGCGGAGGAGGAGGAGGAGGAGAAGGAGGAGGAGGAGGAGGAGGAGGAGGAGGAGGAGGAGGGAGGAGGAAGGGTGTCGGCAGCGCGCAGGTGCGGCCTAGTACAAGAAAGCCAGGGGGCCTTAAATGATGACGCTGTCGTTGCGGTAGAAGGTGAGCGTCGAGTGCAATGGCAGGGGAGAAAACATCGAGTGGCCAAGGTACCTGGCCGTAGCGTGGTCGGAATGCTCAGGCAAGTGGTCGGATGTGTCATGGGCCGTGGTGGTTAGCATTTGGCAGCGGGAGCGGGTTACCAGTCAAATCCCCGCAGAGGATAAAAGGTGACGTGGCTGAAAACAAGGGAGCGTACGATAAATTGTCATCTCGTGGAACGGTCTCGCGTACGGAGTAGCTCGGGCGCGCGCCAATCCGAAAGGCGGGAAGCTTCGAGGTCAATCAGATCCAGTTTGCGTCTGCGTGCCGCAGAACTGAGCGTTGCCTGTCCACCTACCCTGGGCTTCGCAAGCGCCCCGGCGTGGGCTGCTGGGGCAGGGCATCCGACGGCAGTCTGGGGCAAAAGAAAGCCCCGGGGCTCCGCGGCAGACCTCCGGGATCTCAGAGTTCGGAGGCCAGGCGTGGCGCTGCCCCCCTGTTGGCGGCGCGCAAAAAGGGGGGTGGAGGGAGGGGGGAGGGCTTCTTGGGAGGCTGCTTCTGAGAGGGCGCTGGCCCTACACCTACAGATGAGGCCCGCGCCTTCTGAGAAGCAGGGGTGCTTCTAAGAAGCCCTCCCCCCCTCCCCACGCCCCCCCCTGCGCGTGGCCGACCCTTGCCGCTGCAGGGGCACCTTGGCGGCTCGGCAGCGCGGCTGCCACCTCTCATCCCCGGCGCTGGTCGGCCTGGCCCGGCTCGGTGGGCGGTGGGCGGAAGGAGGCTCGGCTCGCCTTGGCGGTCCGCGGAAGCACCCACACAGGGTGGCAGCCGAGAGAGTGCCGCTCAAACCAAGCGACGTTCCAACGTCCCGCTCTGCGGCAACATCCTGCCACTGGCAGCCCTGGTACAAGAACTCAGAAGCAGGGGGGCGTAGCGAGGAGAGGAGGAGGATGGAGGGAAGGAGGAGGGAGGAGGAGGAGGAGGAGGAGGAGGAGGATGGAGGAGGAATAGGAGGAGGAGGAGAGAGGGCAGAGGAAGAGAGTAGGGAGGAACGAGGAAGGGAGATGGCTTGCTCCTCCTCGGCTCCTCCTCCTCTCGCTCCTACGCCCCCTTCTCCGGCTTTCTCCTCCTCCTCCTCTCCTCCTCCTCCTCCTCTCCTCCAAGAGCAAAAAAGTGGGTCCTGCACCACTGCCAAGCGATGCCAAGGCGAAGACATCGTCTCCTCCGCCACCCCCCTCTCCTCTCCTCGTCTCCTTCTCCTCCTACTTGTCGTCTCCTCCTCCTCCTCCTCCTCCTCGTCCCCCCCTCCTCCTCCTCCTCGCCAGCGTCGGAGGGCAACCCACGTTCCACCCCCTCTCCCCCGTCTCCTCCTTCGACACCCCCCCCTCCTCCCTTCTCCTTCTCCTCCTCCTCCCCTCCTCCTCCTCCTCCTCCGCCTCCTCCTCTCCTCCTTCTCGTCCTCTTTCCCCTCCTGCCTCTCCTCCTCCTCCTCCTCCTCCTCCTCCTCGTCTCTCTCTCTTCTTCTCTTCCTTATTTACCTCTCCCCCTCCTCATCCTCGTCCTCCTCTCTCCTCTCCTCATCCTCCTCCTCTCCTCCCCTCCTCCTCCTCCTCTTCGCTTTCTCCTCCTCCTCCTACTCCTCCTCCTCCTACCTCCTACCTCCTCCTCCGCATCCGCCGCCTCCTCCTTCCTCCTCCTCCTCCCCCACCTCCTCCTCCCGGGGCCGCGCAGCCTGGCAGCCCATGCGGCCCTCCGAGATGCTCCCCACCCGCAGGTCGCCCGGGCTCCCGCCCGCGTCGTCCGCGGCCTCTGGCCTGAGAGCTCCCCCGCCCATCCTCCGCCCGAGCGATGCCCACTGATCTCTGCCGCCGTGCCCCCTCGAGGCACGAGCTGGAGCGTCGTCGGGTCCTTTTGCTGGATCTCCCTGGAGCCTCCGCCCTCGATCCTCCCTCCTCAAGCCTCCATCCGCCCCCAATCCTCCCCTCCTCCTCCTCAATCCTCCCTCCCTAAACCCTGGAGCGTCGTCGGGTCCTCTTGCTGGATCCCCCTCGATCCTCGAGGTTCTTCCGGGGGGGGCCCGGGCCCCAGCTCGTCAAGTCTCGTGGGGGGGGCGCGCCGCGTGGCCCCTGGGGCGGCTCCTGGCCTCTCGTCGCGTGGCTTTTTCGGGCCCGCGGGGGGGCTCTAAGACTGGGCCAACGGGGTCCCAAGAGGCCCCCAGCACGGTCCAAGATGGCCCGAAGCGCCGAACGATCGCTCTAAGACGTCCAACATACAGATGGCCTGAAGACGGCCCGAGATGCCCCCAAGACTCCCGAGAGGGCCTCCAAGAGGCTTCCCGAGAGAACTCCACGAGGCAACATTCATATATTGTCTTTTCGTTGTTTTTGATTTTTGCTTTCTCGCCTTTTCAGCTTCCCGATGCTCCAGGACGGCCTACGAGGCCCCCAAGATGGCGCCAAGACGGCCCAGGAGGTCTCCAAGTATGCCAAATAAAGCCCCCCCAAACAGCCCAAGAGGCGCCCAAGACGGCCCAAGAGGCCCCAAAGATGGCTCCAAGAAGGGGCCCCGACGGGGAACCCGAATGGACATTTCAAGCCCTTGGCCCCCAGGAAGCCCCCACGAGGCCCCCAAGATCCCTTGAGAATCGCCCCCGAGGCCCCCAGGAAGCCCTAAGAGGCGCCCAAGAGGCTCCCAAGATGCCCTCAGGAGGCTCACGAGAGGCCCCCAAACTACCCCCAAGAGGCCCGCGAGAGCGCTCCGAAGAACCCCCAGGAAGCATCCCTGAGAAATCTGCCCCACAAGCCCTGGCACGGTGGCGGGAGGGGCCGAAGGCCGTTCGATACACCCCAAACCCTCTGCCCCCCACACAGGGGGGTGGCTCTCATCCCCAGGGCTCGCTTCGACGTGGCGGGCGGGCGGGAGGCGTCGCACGCAACACCAGTCGAACTTCTCGGCCGGCACTCGCCCGCCATACCTTGACCCAGCAGATGGCGAGGGCGATTGCCCGGTCGCTGCAGGATGCATAGCGATTGGCTCAGAAGCTGAAGCGTCGGCCTGGAATCGGCAATACGTCGCCGATTGATCGGCATTTGGCCCTCGATAGCCACGCCGCGCGCGCCTGGGTGGGTTGGGCCGCCAAGCCCCCGTCGGCGATGAATGGGCGTTTATGGGTGTCGATGCCATGCCCCCGTGGGCCCATCCCCCCTCTCGTCGCCACTTGCTGTCGATGCCAACCTCGCAATCCATCTTTCAAGTAATCGTACGGAGTGTACACGAAAGAGGGCCGACACTGTATCTCTAGGCTTTTTGTTTGACTCTCTTGTGGCACCCAGGACCTTCGGGAGGCCTCTCGGTTCGAGAGGCAGCAGGAGGAAAAGGGGGATGATGATAACCAGAGTAAGCTTAGGGCAGGCATGTCTTCCAGGCGGATTTTCGAAGAACATAAAATAACCAACGCGTAACCCGAAATAGACAAAACTAGTCGAACAATGGTCCCCGACTATTTGGTTAATCTATTATTTCTCAACCATCCTGTGGTGTTGGGTCCTCGTTTTGAAGAGACAGCGCCCGCGTCCTCCTTCCTTCCTTCTCCTCCCGCTGCCCCCCCTCTCCTATTCCCTCCCTGCGTTTCGCCCCTAGTACAACGCTCCGCGGTCCCATAGGGACCTCCACCGAAAGCGCTGGTGACAGGGTTCGCATGGCGGCCTCGGGCCATTTCGGCACACCCCTTGCGAGCATCGTGGCCCCATAGGGAGCTCCACCGAAGGCCCCAGTGGCAAGGTTCGCGTGGCGGCCTCGGGCCATGTCGGCACATCCCTCACGAGGATCGTGGCCCATCGGGACCTCCACCGAAGGCCCCAATGACAGGGTTCGCATGGCGGCCTCGGGCCATTTCGGCAAACCCTTCACGAGGATCGTGGCCCCAGAGGGAGCTTCACCGAAGGCCCCAGTAGCAGGGTTCGCATGGCGGCCTCGGGCCATTTCGGCACACCCTCACGAGGATCGTGGCCCCATCGGGACCTCCACCGATGGCCCCTGTGGCAGGGTTTGCATGGCGGCCTCGGGCCATTCCGGCACAACCCTTACGCGGATCATGGCCCCATAGGGAGTTCCACAGAAGGCGCCAATGGCAGGGTTCGCATGGCGGCCTCGGGCCTATTTCGGCACACCCCTCACAAGGATCGCGGCCCCATAGGGACCTCCGCCGAAGGCGCCAATCGCAGGATTCGCATGGCGGCCTCGGGCCATGTCGGCACACCCCTCGCGAGGATCGTGGCCCCATAGGGAGCTCCACCGAAGGCCCCTGTGGCAGGGTTCGCACGGCGGCCTCGGGCTCATGTGGGCACACCCGTCACGAGGATCGTGGCCCATCGGGACCTCCACCGAAGGCCCCAGTAGCAGGGTTCGCGTGGCGGCCTCGGGCCATTTCGGTACACCCTTCACGGGGATCGAGGCCCCATCGGGGCCTCCACCGAAGGCGCCAGTAGCAGGGTTTGCATGGCGGCCTCGGGCCATTTCGGCACACCCCTCACGAGGATCGTGGCCCCGTAGGAGACCCACCGAAGGTGCCACTGGCAGGGTTCGCGTGGCGGCCTCGGGCCATGTCGGCACACCCCTCGCGAGGATCGTGGCCCCATCGGGACCTCCACCGAA